ATTTGAAAATGTATAAAAAGTACTTTAAATTATAATTGAATTTTTTTTTTTTTTAACTTTTTCAAAATTTTATGTGAAATCTTCTGGCCCCATCCCGATTAAATCGATATAACAAAGTATGCTATTTCTAAGTCGAAAATTTTAAGCGATTTTGGTGATTGTGTCAAACATATAAAGGAAAACTGTTAACATAAACTATTTAAAATATCATTCAAAATATCGCAAATGATTAATATAACGATTAAAGATAAGTTTAACATAATTGCAATTAAATTTTCCAGTGTTAAATACAAAAATCATCAAACAACTATAGCTCTTAATAAACAGAAGATAAACTAGACATTTTAGAACCCAAGTATTTATCACTTTATAATAAATTTCATGTATGATTATTATTTCACATGTTAGCAACTTACATAAACGAAATAAATAACCTATTTATATCGTCCGAAAGATTATTTCAGACATGTTACTACTTTTAAATCGTGGATTCGGAAAATTTACTGCTCCGGTTTATAATGTCGATTTTAATTATGATTTATCCTTTGACAACTCGCAGAGTGTATTGTTAGTCGTCACTCCCACTCGTTAACAAATCTGCTTTAACCTGTGAAAATTTCAAAGTACATTCTAACTTAATTTTTTTTCTTAATGATGTCGTTAATTCTTCGAAGTATGAAACATGAGTACATTAATGTTTGAAAATTAAACTAGCGTTACAGTTATCAATAGAGAAAGTCTTACATCAATAATGATACTTCATGTCATATCGTATATTATTTTTAATAATATATTTTAGGTTATACATAATAATTTACAACATAAGTTGTTTCCTTTATTTGTATGCCATTTCATTTGTCGAACCTTTAATTATATTCTTTCTTCCTTATCGAGCATTCGTGCCTAACTATTTATTTTAAATTTAAAATATAAATATAATTATTGAATAAAGCAATAAATTACATTTATATAAATCATATAAAAATAATATAATTCATTAAAAAAACTTACTTAAAGTAATTATCTGCAGAAAAAAGTTTTTTTTTTTTTGTAAATTAAATTTGTATTGTTTTAAAATACAACTCTTTGTTATAATTTAATTTTATATATTTACTTATAATTTCGTTAAAAAATGAATTAACTAAAAATATCCTTTTTAAAAATACCGTAACTAATTATTTATTCCCACATACTCGTATTAATACGTATATAATTTAGTTCTACAAATACTTAAAAATAAATTTCTATGTAATTTCCATGAAATTAAACATAATTAATTTTTAATTTAATAATTTAAATTTTATCAAAAAATAAAATCTTCGTCATCTATAACATCCTAAGTCTATTACAAATACAGTACTGTATACAGTATAGACTTAGGATGTAGAGTCTTATACCTAAAATAAATATAAATGAAAACTTAAAACATTTTTCTACAGCATTTTATTAAAAAAGTTTTAATACTTTCTTATTTATAAAAAATCTGAGCAAACTTGATGTTTAATATAAAATAAATGAGAATAAATAAAGAACAAAACGACTTTATCATTGCTTTCGTAGTGGATAGCCTTTCAATTCTATTCATTCTGTACTTCAATTTTTATTTTCTATTGCACTGATTGCACTGGATTCAAATTTTCTCCGAATACTTCCTTATATGAAATTCTGAAATTACATAAAGTATTAGTAAATAGCCTTAAAATAGTAGTAAATTGTTTTAGTTATTTTTATCATCGATATAAATATATTACAATCAACATCTACGATTTTTTTCTCGAAACTGAAGCTATTGAAATTTTGTTTTATCTGCCTTACACATTAAATTGCTAACAGTTCTTAACTGACAATATAACTAAATATCTAATATATAAGTTATATATATACAGTATAATTTTTTAAACATACAGTATATATATTAGCTTATTTAGAAAGTGTGTGTCCATAAATTTTAAATTTTTATTGCTTTATATTTTCATTACTATCGACTATACTTAAATAGTCGTACACACTTATAGACAAACAGACCGTTACAATAAAAATTTACTTGTTTCATCCAAGAAGAAAATTGATGCAAATAAACTGTTTCAATTAATATCATATCTATTCTTAAGTACTAACCACCGATTTGTCATGAATTATAATTTGGCTCTATTCCCAAAATATATTCTTATTATGGAGATTGCTTTAATAAAAATAATTAATTGAAAAAGATAAAAACATATAAGAATAATGTGTTGTTTCTAAATACATTTTATTGCTTGACGTCAAAATACATAATTAATATCAAAAAGAACAAGTTTTTATAACCTGTTTGCATCTTACTTGATTTTCTTAAATGAATTAAAATAGATTCCTTTTACCTCTTTGTACTTACTCTTTACATTTCTGTATATATTGTCTACTTGGACTTTGTTTATTAATAGAACTTATTGTAATGGTAATGTTTCTGATTAGCAATGAAAGGAAATCTTAGTCAAAAATCAAAACAAAATATCTTTGCTTTCACCCGTACTCTCTTTTTTGTGTGTTTCGGCCCCTCTTCAGCAGGTTTATATTCTATAACAATTGTATAAAAACTTTTTAAAAACAATGATATTACACCCGACTGTAATATTTAAGATAAAATTACTTACATTTACTTTATTGTTCAATATTAAAACAACATCAATACACAGAAATGAAATAAATTTTTTAAGCATTTTTCTGCTAAAATAATGTCACATATATTTTTTTAAATACTATCAATATCTCAGTTAACTAATGAACAGTAAACAGTAAAAAATAATTTAAATATAAGTTATAATTAATAACTTATATTTAAATTATTTTTCGTCAACTATTTCAGATATTAAGAATTTATTATTTAAAGAATAATGAAATAATATGCATCTTTCTTAACGAATAATTTTTATGGAAAAAAATGAATAATTGTGTAATAGAAATTACATTATTGTCATTCATGGTCTAAAAAACAAACTACCTATTCGGAGTCGGATTATATAGCATCAAGATGAATTAGACTAATCTGTACAAGTGATCTATTTCTGAACATGCTTTCAAAATTGTTTCTAAAACCGGATCTTTAAAAGTTCTAAACGAAAAAATGTTTATGAGATGCTTTCCTTAATTAATTAATATCCTAAAAAAATTACTTATAATCAATTTATTTAAAAACAGATTGATAAACACCGCAGCTTAAAATAATAAGGAATTTATCGGTTCAGGTGTAAAGATCAACAGTTCGAATGATCGAACTTAAAGGCGACAGCCTACTCTTCTGTGAGATGCTCAGAAATGTTCATGGATGGTTTGATATATTACGTAGGATTCTATTGTGGGCCTGGTCAAACCTATGATAGGAATAAAAATGGACTTTATAATTTCTGCAGGCCAGAAAGAATTAAATATAGTATATATGTGACGAATGATAGTAGTTATATAAAAACTTTATAAAGGATATTAATATCTACTATTAACTATACTACTTTATAATGGATATTAATACCTGTTATAAGGTAGAAAATTATCAATGTGATGAATAAATTTGTTTTAAAATAAAAATTTGATGGAGGGGCGAACTTTCTAAAATGTAATGTAAAATTTAAAAGGTGTATACATACAGTATATAAGTTAAATTATGATAATAATGTGGAAAAATTCACAAAGTAATAAAATAACAGCTATTGACAACGCGACAAATTAAAAAATGATGAAAGAAGATCAAGGTTAAGGATGTTAAATTATAGTATGTAGAAAGACAACAGATGAAATACTTTGGTCACTTGTTAAGAACGGAAATCGACAAATTCTCATACATTGCCTTTATAGGAAGATATAGTGGAGACATAGTGGAAGACATAGTAGATCCAGAGGAAGACCAAGCAAAACGCGAATAGATGACATTCTCAACATCCTGAGGCAGACAAACACTAGCTACAAAAAAAGGCAGCACAGATGGCACGTGCTCATAAACTTCAGTTACCTCGATACTGCAAAATAAAAAAGAACAGATAAAAAATAAAATAAAACAAATTACCAGTTGGTATAATGTTGTAATCCAGCATAAAAAGTATTTGGAAATTATCATCGTAGCTATTTATCTAACCGCGTGTCCAGAGAAAAACTCCGGACACAATCCGGAAAGTTTCTCGACAGCATAAAAAGTAAGATATTCCGGAAATTTCAGACATATTACCCCATTAATTAGTCATGTTAAATACTGTTAGTAAATTGAGTCAACAAGCATATTTTTTATAAGTTAACTTGATGAAAATAACAACTATTAATTCAAAAATTAAGTTAACTTTTTTGGAGTTTATTTAAAATTATTTTTCTAATAGTTTTATTCCGCACTGTATAATTTATTTTCAAATCGATAAAAGGCGTGATTTATCATCTGCATAATTATAATCACCGATATTAATTTATGTAATGATCAAACTTGAAATAATTCTTAAGAGAATGAGAACAGTAATTACGTTCTTCAGAATTTTAAATGGGGGGAGAGAAACTAATAATAAAGAAATAAGCGAAACTAAAATCGAAGTTTTCTGTGTTATAATACTGTATTTATAGAATTAATCATTTCAAAAACATAAACTTTAAATTTAAATATTTTTATAATACTGTAATCAGATTTTATATATAAAATAAAATCGCCTCGGTGCAAATGTATACATATAATGCATACAGATGCATACAGATAAATAACAATAATAATATTATTATTATATGAAATACCTTGAACGAGTTTTTACTGTATATTGTTAAGGTTGAATTAACATAACTGTCGGTGGCCATATTGTTCTTTTCACAACATCGGAATACGTATTAATTAATACTATGGATGATTAAGACATAATGTCAAATCAGACAATTATTTTGCGAATTATGATGTAAGATTCTAAAAATTATGAATTAAAAAAAATTAATAAATTTTATTATTTTCAGTAATAGATACATATATATTTATATATATATATATATATAAGACAAAAAAGAGACACAAGGCAGCTGGTGATGATCGCTTTGGTGACATTTAACTGGACGCCTCGGCCGGGGGTACTACACTATCATCAGTGACAGAAACGGGTGACTCCGCTCCTTCTTCTAACATACTACTGCATTCGCTACTTTCTAGATCTTTCAAGTCACCAGAAGACGAACTTTGACCCGGCGATGACTCCGACATCTCCTCTAACGAATTGTCTTCCACGCATGTTGTCAGTACTTGATGAGCTTTTTGGAGATGATGATCGAGGCTCTTGGCGTGTTCGAATACGTCCCCGCAGACGGTACACACGTGATCGTAATGTTTTTGATGAGCATTCACCATATGTCGTCTCAATTGTCGTGTGGAAGAAAATGTTTCACTGCACATTTCGCATGGATGAGTAGTGGAAGTTATGTGAATCCTCATGTGTTCTTTCACGTGACATTTTCTGGAAAAGGTTTTTCCGCAATGAGGACACATGAACGGTTTAAGACCCGTGTGCGATTTTAAATGAGCTTTTCTGTTTTCCTTTCTGGCAAATCGTTTCTTACAGATTGGACATTCGTAAGGTTTTTCTCCACTGTGGGATCGCATGTGGATATTGAGATTCCTCGAAAGAGCAAATTCTTTATTACATTGTGGGCAAATGAATTTAGTTCCCTGCGTATGGATTCTCATATGACCTTGAAGATTGCTCATACAAGGGAATACTTTTTCACNTATAAGTTAAACAGTATGTAATTGATAATAAAAATTTTACTTTTTAATCGAAATATTAAAAAGATATAAAAATATTAATTATTCATTATAATCCATTAAGAATTTTTTTTCAATATTTGAAAAATTGTTTATAGTTTACTTTTTACTTTCAGAGAATAAAATGACCTTCCCTATTGTGTACATTAAAGTTTATTATTTAATGTACACAATGGAAAGTTTTCATACTGAAAAGTCTATATAATCGATTTGTAAACTGACTAAAATATTCTCGATCATGTATTCAACAGCAGTAAATTAAAATTTCATACGTTTTTTACGTAAATATTGTACAGTAAATTGTATTTTTAAGTTATATTTCAGATTACATGTTAAGACAAATATCTTTTCTGATTAAATTTAACTGAAAAATTATTTATTTTGATGTGTCTGAAAATCTGACTCGAGATATCAAATCTAAAAATACAATGTAATGTATATCCTAATATAAAATTAATGCTATAAAAGGTTAAAATGGCTACTACTCATATAGATGTACAGTACATCACTTTTTCAACTTCACTCTATAAAATAAATATGATCCAAATTATAGTACTTTTATTACTAGATGGCGTTCGAAAATATAATTGGATATAATTGAAAAGTCGACTTCTGTTTCATCTCAATAATACTAATTATAACCTTAATTTTGAAAATTGTGGAATACATAATTCTGCAATAACTTTGACCAAAAACACTACGACAAAATTATAGTTTTTTTTAGACAATTTCCTATTAATTGGGGACGGCATTCTATGTTTTCTCCAATTATAAATATCGACAAAATAAATTTATTTAAGTTACAAATATATCATTGAATAAAGAATAAATCAATAGACTGTAACATAAATAATGACATATGCCATAAAGAATACTTTTATAAATGTATTTTATTAACGTACTTCTATTTATTTTTTATGATTAACTTACTGTAAATTTATTATAAGAGAAAATATCCTTATACTGGGTAAATTTTGTTTCAAGCTGGGTAATTTCGTGCTCCACAAAAATAGGAAATTACCTGTTATTTTTTTCAAAACAAACGTAAAAGGAAAAAGATTTATAAAATATACTGTGTATGTAGATTCAAAGTAAGTTATATGTATTAAAAGTATTTGTTGGTTGTAATTTTGCTATATTAGCGTCGTGTTTCCATAATTTTGAAGGAAAACATTGCGAATTGAATTTTTCTTTTGTAAAAAATCTTTTACTCAATTTTATTACAGACATTACTATAATTTATTCGACTTCAGCATTTATATTTTTTAAAGTATTCATTAAAATATTAGTTTTAAAAATGAATAAATATCGAATAAATTATTGTCATTATATGAAAACAATTTTCGATCATATTAGTTAATAACAATTGCATTTGCAACTGTTATTAACTATTGTTAATATCATGTCCCTTCATTTTTCAGAGTAGAAAACAAATTCTCACCGGGGACGTGGAATGAAAGATTGAAAGAACATTAGTTGAATTTATATAGGAAGTTGTCAGAAGTACTTTTAAGATGTTCTTCCCCTCTTACAAATTTTCTATGAAAAATAAAATATTAAAAATTGCCAGTAGAGACAAGACTATATTTATTTTCAAATTTCAGATATTTGATATTTACGAGGTAATATAAGTACAGTACATAGCTACAGGCTACAGTACTTATTCAGAATGCCGTTCAAATTTGATAATTGATGCAAAAGAACGATGGTTGGACCAATACGTTTAGAATAAAAACAATTTTTCTAAATTTTTGAAGTAAATTCTAAATTCTGAATTCTTGAATTATTTTAGAGAAAGGAATATTTTAGAACCACTTCGCTGATATTCACATCCGTCTCTGAATAATAATTATCTTTTTTTCTTTTAAGAAAGTTAATCATTTAATAGTAATAATCTCTGAAAATATTAACTATTAAGATAATAATTCTACATTTTTAAAATAGTTACGATATAAATTTATCCTAGTCTTTTACTTATTTCTTTCTAATTATGATCTGTTCCTAGATCTATTAAGACCTACATTTCCTAGTAAAGGTATTTTGTCTTTATTTATTCGATAACTAAAGAATTTTATTTATCTTTCATTAACTTTCATAGTTTTTTAAATCAATTACTACTAGAAAAATTCTAGTTTTATGCCATTTATGTTTCACTATTGTTTACAGAGATTCATGTAAAATTGTAATTAACGTTCGTGTTTTAAGCACAAATTACCTGCAATGAAGTATGATTTAAAGTGTTTTATACCAGCTCCTTAAACATTTGAATATTTATAAAACACAAGGTAAATATCTAATTTAGTAGGGCACGCAATACATTTATTAAGATTAAAGTAATAATAAAATTAATATTATTTACTAGTCATATTTAGATTAATTTAAAATTATGTTTGTGATTTAATAACAATTCCATTTAACGTTTATTATATACCAAAAGCACAATTGATTAATAGCTTAATAAAAATAACCATTGCATTTATTATTCAAAAAACTACGCTGCTAAGATAATTCGAGAGTGGTCCGTCCCAAATGAGCGTATTCAAAATCTCAGCGCGCAGCCAGCATCTATCAGCACCTCTGTTCAAAATCTCAGATTGCTTCCAATTGCTGCCAGCGTGCTTCCAGCAAACTGTAAGCGTCTTTTTTCGGTGGTGAATAGGCTAGCAAACAAGATGGCAGCCACCATAAAGCTCTTAAGAGCTCTATTTTGCGTTGACAATTTTGAATTTAATATATTTGTCGATGAATAAACCCCGAATAAATTAATATTCGGTTAGTACGTTAATATTAATAGAATATTTTAATATATTAGTATATTTACGTAAGACATCACATAATTTTTTTTAGTTGTTAAAGTGTAATCTTAGGATTGATTTAATTATTTAAAACTCCTACGGAAATTTAAAATATCTTTATCTCGAATTCTTTTTTCAAAATTTTTATTTTTCATTAATCTGTTCTAATTAAAGAAATTCAAAAATCATTTAACGTAACGGGGAAGTCCATATCATTCGCCATTTTTATTGTTTTTCTCTCCCGAAATTCCCGACAGTCAGTGATTGTGTTTTCTAGAAAACGCCAGCAGTTGCATCACTTCTGGCAGCATCTCGCTGGATTGATGCTGAGATTTTGAATATACCCAATATGTCGAGCCCCATTCCTCACCATTGGTGGGCCCGGTAGAACCCAAGATGGGCCTCATAAAAAGACCCCCTTAATGTCCACAGAAAAGAAAGAGAAACTATTTTGGCTACACGTGTATATATATATATACACGTGTAGCAAAATAGTTTCTATCAATATCGAATACGCTTTATATTATTAAAAAAATCATTTAATAATTTATATATTATATGTTTTAATAAAACGTAAAATATTGTATTAAATTAATAAATAAACAATTAACGTATAGAGAGAAGTAGTTGATTGGCTGAAACTGTAAGTTGATTAAAACAGAACAAGGTAAAATTTAACTTTAAATTATTAGTTTTTAATGCAAAGGTCAATGACTATTGTAAGGAACTTGTGGACGTTATTATTATTTAAACCCTTTTTACCTTATGGATTAGAATACTCTACAGTACAGTACTGTACATAAGGTGAAAAGAGTTTAAATAATAATGATAATTACGATGATAGATCTTTCAATGTTGACATTTCATGAGTTATATCATTAATATAGAATTTTAACCGAAAACATTGTTTTTATAGCAGGATAAATTTTAAAGTAATTAATTTTTCTTTTGTAAAAAATCTTTTACTCAATTTTATTACAGACATTACTATAATTTATTCGACTTCAGCATTTATATTTTTTAAAGTATTCATTAAAATATTAGTTTTAAAAATGAATAAATATCGAATAAATTATTGTCATTATATGAAAACAATTTTCGATCATATTAGTTAATAACAATTGCATTTGCAACTGTTATTAACTATTGTTAATATCATGTCCCTTCATTTTTCAGAGTAGAAAACAAATTCTCACCGGGGACGTGGAATGAAAGATTGAAAGAACATTAGTTGAATTTATATAGGAAGTTGTCAGAAGTACTTTTAAGATGTTCTTCCCCTCTTACAAATTTTCTATGAAAAATAAAATATTAAAAATTGCCAGTAGAGACAAGACTATATTTATTTTCAAATTTCAGATATTTGATATTTACGAGGTAATATAAGTACAGTACATAGCTACAGGCTACAGTACTTATTCAGAATGCCGTTCAAATTTGATAATTGATGCAAAAGAACGATGGTTGGACCAATACGTTTAGAATAAAAACAATTTTTCTAAATTTTTGAAGTAAATTCTAAATTCTGAATTCTTGAATTATTTTAGAGAAAGGAATATTTTAGAACCACTTCGCTGATATTCACATCCGTCTCTGAATAATAATTATCTTTTTTTCTTTTAAGAAAGTTAATCATTTAATAGTAATAATCTCTGAAAATATTAACTATTAAGATAATAATTCTACATTTTTAAAATAGTTACGATATAAATTTATCCTAGTCTTTTACTTATTTCTTTCTAATTATGATCTGTTCCTAGATCTATTAAGACCTACATTTCCTAGTAAAGGTATTTTGTCTTTATTTATTCGATAACTAAAGAATTTTATTTATCTTTCATTAACTTTCATAGTTTTTTAAATCAATTACTACTAGAAAAATTCTAGTTTTATGCCATTTATGTTTCACTATTGTTTACAGAGATTCATGTAAAATTGTAATTAACGTTCGTGTTTTAAGCACAAATTACCTGCAATGAAGTATGATTTAAAGTGTTTTATACCAGCTCCTTAAACATTTGAATATTTATAAAACACAAGGTAAATATCTAATTTAGTAGGGCACGCAATACATTTATTAAGATTAAAGTAATAATAAAATTAATATTATTTACTAGTCATATTTAGATTAATTTAAAATTATGTTTGTGATTTAATAACAATTCCATTTAA